CCTGTTTCCTTATCTTTAAAATGGAGGTGAGAGCACCTACCTCACAAGGTTGTTATGAGTATTAAATGAAGATGTATATAAAGTGCTTTGCAAACTTTAAATTGATACACAAATGTGAGTTACTAAATGCGTGTGAGAATCAAAACTGAGTTTTATATTTTTTGCCTCTTACTTTAGTGCATACTTTGCTACATCCATATATATAAAAACTGATGTTTTTTATTCTGGTTTTAAATAATCAAAATAACTCTTCAGTACTATTTCCCATCAGACTGTATTAGTCACTGCATAGATATCAGCAAAACATGATCTCTAAAGAGAGCTGCCATTTTAAAGCCAAAATGTATGAGAATTTTATTTTAGTGGTTGCTTAGTAAACCTTTCTACATATTCTATCTGCTAATATATAAGCCGGTATATATATAGATTTATTGAGAAATATGTAGATATAAGATTGTGTTTGAATTCCATTTCTATGGAAATACTCTTTGAAAATACAGAATTAATTACTAGTAGTTTCTCTGAAGATTGAGAGTTCAGTATTCTAGATCTCATCACCCATAATATTCCAGTGTTAATCATACTCTAATAAAACATTATTTTTAAAATATTGGTATGTATTGAAAAAGGATGTCTGTTTCTCACAGTAATCTTAGTTGTTTTAAGCAAATGTCTTCTTAATGGGGGAGTGATATTTAGTTCTGGCATGTTATTTATATTGAGGCATGTCATGGTGAGAAGCATTAAACTTTTTTCTTACTTCTTACGATTTAGCTGTCATCTGTTTGCTACTTAGTTGATATTCCTCTCCATCTTTGCTTCTACATATTAATTACATTTCATTCTTTAAGAGATAAGGACTAGACCTGTTATGTCCTTGGTCCATGGAATTTCCAGATGAGGAAACTACCTCAGTCAGTGTAGGCCAGCAGTGATGCATCTTAGGGTTTCCTAGAGCGCTGAATGGCTTCGTGACTTGTGCAGAGTCACCCAGCCAGTAGAGGTCACAAGTGAGAACACAACCCAACTTTTCCTGCCTTGGTTCTCTCTCCACTATGCCATGCATCCTCAGTAATTGCTATGTAGCTATGTTATTTGAAATTTTAGCCAGTTTATCTTTTAATTATTACTGTTTTATAAGTAGTTTTAATACTATACAGAAAAAATGGAATTTTTGATTTTCTGTTTAAATTCTCATAAATAAGAATTTAATGCTTTTGTTGACTGTGTTATATATAACTCTGAAGGAGGAAACTTTCTTTTCCAAAGGTAGTGAGACAAGTTGTCTCTATTTTAAGGTCTCAGAAAGTTGCCTAGAGCACTGAGAGGTGACTTACCCAGGGTTACACAGCCAGTATGTGTCTGAGATAGGACTTGAACCCAGGTCTTTCTTGATTCAGGGCTAGCTCTCTCTCCGTTATGCATCTCCAGAGCAGCTGTTAGTGCTTTGAATGCCTTTCCTTTGCCTATGGCTGATGAAAAAGGTGTTCCTGAAATTCTGAACCTGTTAACACTATACTGACTTCATTGCTGATAGGACTCTATTCTGTGTCTGTTTCAGCGGGTTGTCATTTTTTACTATAAGCAAGTCATACATTTTCTTTTAACCATTTTATTTACTGGAAGCTTTAGTAATATTGTTACTTATTTTCCAAGGAAATAAGTCTTAATTGTTAACATGGGTTGGTAATAACCAGAATTGCCAGCTATCATTCACCTGCTACCTATTTGACCTGATTCACCTCACTTCCAATGAAATCCCCCAACTCCCACCTTCAGAAATGCTCAGCATATTGTAATACCTCTGTATGCACACATGTGAAATAATGAAAGGTTTGGCTTTTGCTATTCATACCAGTGAACATCTTGAATCACCCCAGGTGATGATCATCTTGTGTACCTGGGGAAGAGCAAACTGAGCTGTACCATGTTGTGATTACGGGCAGGTTCTCAGGGCAGAATTCATCAGGCTCTTTGGTTCTTTGACCAGCCAGCCCACAAACCCTTTTACCTCTCAAGAAACATGTCCCAAACCGGGGGAAATAACTGTAGAAGTTTTTTTCTCCTTTTCATAACTGAAAATATTGCGGAAGGGGTATCTATAGTCTGTATTTTTCCATACATAAGTCTAGATGCAGTAATCCAGGAGAAAAATTGGAGTGTAAGGGTACACTATTAAGATAAGATTTGGAATCCCATGCTGAATTCATTTGAGTCTAGCCTGTGATTTTCTACTGTGAAAATTTTATTGCCTGGTAACTGAAGAAAGTAAAAAAGGCATTTACAGATATATTTATGTAGCCTGTCATAGATGTCTTTCTAGGATTTTAGTTATCAAATCTCTTAATCAAGTTTACAAATCTGTGCTTTGGAATTTTGAGTAGAATATGCCTTCACCCAAATAGTTCAGCTTTTTAGGAAAATAAGCCAACAGTTAAATATTTATGTTCTTTAAAAATAATTTATAGAATAGACTGTGACTTAAAATATATGATTAACCTGAATTATTATTATTGAAGATTTAACTAGTAATATTTTGCACTTTAGTCTTTTTCTAGTTATAAATTCTACATGATTCAGTTCAATTCAGCAAACACTTAATGAGTGTTTATTATGTGCATAGCACTGTGCTAGGCGCTGGGGATGCAAAGACAATATCGAAACAATAACTGCCCTCAAGGAGTTTACATTCTACTGAGGGAATGCAGCATGTGTGCAAGTAAGTAAATACAAGATATATACAAAGTCATTTCAAGAGAGAGAGATTTCTAATAACTGAAGAGAACATGGCAGGCTTCATTCATGTAAGGGATGTCACCTGAGCTGTGCTTTGAAGAAAACCAGGGATTCTGTGAGATGGAGGTGAGAACGGAGGACATTCCAGACATGAGGGAAACCCTGGGCCAGCCCCCCAGAGGCATATCATGTCATATCCTGTTCTGTCATGTCTAGGGACAAGCTTTGAATGGCAGCTAAGGCTTTGATGGCAACTTGAATTTGTGTTTTATCCTGTAGGCACTAGAGACCCACTGAAGCTATATTAGGGGCAGAGGATGAAAACATGGCTCAGATATGGTTTGTAATGTCTACTTGGCAGCTAGCTGGAGGAGGAATTAGAGAGGGAAGAGAATAGAGGGAGAGATCATTTAGGAGACTTTTGCATTGGTTCAGATAAGAGAGGATAAGGGCCTGAGCCAGAGTCAGGATTTCAGGAGTGAGAAAAAGTGTGTGAGAGATGGTGTGGATCTAGTCTACTTTTTAGTAGGAAGTTCAGAGTTTAGACATTTGCATTCTATTTGAGTTCTAACTCTAGTGTTTTGCTTATTTTAGCTAGCTGATCTCTTTGCTTATTTCTTCTCTCTTTTTATTTCTATAGAACTTCATATTTTGAAAAGAAAATGAACAGTTTAATTGATGTCTCTTTTTCACAATTTAAGAAAAATGAAATATTTTTCTTAATAACGCTTGTTTATATTATAGTCTTTCGGAGTAATTTTCTTTACAATCATCCCATGAGGGGAGCAGTGCAAAATTTTTACCTGGTTTACAGATAAAGAACCCAAGGCTCAAAGAGGGTGAGGGATTTGTCTGAAGTGACACAGCTAGTGGCTAGTCATTAGTCAAATTGAGTCTGGAACCAGAGTTCTTTGCAATTTACCTTTCTCTTGTATGCTCTGATGACTTTAATTTAGGGACAACCCTGAATTATTTTATTGGCTCTTTGTAAAAGTGGAACTTTTAGTATCCCAATAGAATAAAAAAGGTTAATAAGATGAATTCAAGGACCAGAATTACATTACTCTCTTTTTGAGGGAGTCATCAGAGGCTATATTGATGTTTCATTAGGTCTTGTAATAGGTAGCTTTTATTTCCCCTCTTTTGGTGTGCTGACAACATCAGAACTTGACACGACTGGGGTGGGTGGGAAGGATGGAAGTGATGATGGTCTTTTCCCGAGGCACATTCTATCCCTTTACTTCCCAAAGGTAAGTGTTGACAATGTAACTAACTAAACCAAGCACTGTATCATCCACATTGGAAACCATATTTTGCAGGGTCTTAGATGAAATCTCGGTTTCACCCCACCTTCAAAGCAAGCTCAGTTCTCTGTCAAATAGACCAGGAGCCTTTAATATCATCAGTCAACCTTTACCAAGAAAAAGAAGGGGCAATAAAAATAATTTGTTAAAATACAGAGAACTACCCTTTGTTTAAATCATGAATAAATATGCATTTAAAGTCTTATGATAGTGCCTCAGCTTATCATGAAGGTAATTCTGGGATCTTCTTTACATTCAAATATGGAACTCTTGATTACTGTGGTGTTATTAATTTTACAAAATGTACTCTTTGATTTTTCACAGTATTCCAAGCTGAGCAATGAGGGGTTGAATCATGAGTACCCAATCTCTCCTGGCATTCCCCCCACCTCTCAGTTTTTGCCAGTCTTCATCTTCTGCTATTATAGTATAAGAAACCAGCTTGGAATTAACCCAGTCCATTATGAAACTTTATTCTCTGTAAATCATGTCTTTTATGGGTACTGCAACCCTTTTTTTTTTTAATTACAAAGGGTTTGGTTTCCTACAATAGCCTAACAAAAATAGGGAAGAGAGACAGAAGGGGGCAGGGAAAAGAGGGAGGAAGAGAGAGACAAGGAGAGAGGGAGAAAGGAAGAGGGAGGGAAGGAAGGAAGGAAAGAGAAGAGAGGGAAGAAAAACACACACACACACACACACATACACACATACACATACACATACAGTACTTTGCCTCACTACTTTTTGTTTCCTATAGTCATTCTTTTTGTGTTCTGCTAAGGGCTGAAGAAACAGAAGCTTTTAGAAAGATGGCTTTTGAAGTTGTGTACCTACGTAGGTTTTATCCCCTTTTAAGTGCCTTCTTTTTTTTTTTAGTAGCCATTGTTTGTCATATTATAATTTTAAAGTAATTTTTGTTGTTCACCACGATCACAAAAGCACATTTTTCTTGTTCTACAGAAGGCCAGCCTGAAGAAAATTCTGAGAGCAGTAATAATGGTAAGTGTTTTGAACATGACTGCTTTACTGCACTTGAAAAATGACTTGTATTTAGACTAAAATATCTTCATTCTTTCTACCTTTACCACTTCCTTTATTTAAGCTTCATCTGCCAATTGCTTTAAGGTTCATTTATAGTGTCTGCATGATAGTGCGACCTAAAATTGAAGGATGGTTGATTCACACTGATATAATAGCATAGATAAGTTATTCATAATTTTTAAAAAATCATAAAGGCAAGCTTGCCAGGACAGACAACTTATTCTCTTCCCTGGACATCCTTTGTTATTTGGAAACATTTTTTTAAAAGCGTCTTGGTTTTTAGTTTTCTATTTAAAATATTTGGTCTTCTGATTTTGAAATCTGCTTCATTTTAACCTCTAGGGTCTGTGATCTTTTACTGCGAAAAACAAGTTATTAAGTGAATGAAGGGGGAAAGAACATCATTAATCAAAGCATTAGTATTATCAGGAAAGCACAAAGTAATTATAATCTTTATGCTGAAATGTTTTGAGAAATTTCATCATGGGAAGAAAAGTGAAGGTGTGGAAAATCACTTCTAGAACAGCACTGAGGCATTCAGCTGAAACTTGGTTCATTCAGTGCTTGTTGAAAGGGAGTCATTTTATGGTTGGCTCTTTTATGATAGATAATTTGAAATGTGGCAAAGTTTAGGGTTACTTTCAAAAAAAATCTGAAAATGAGTAAAAATCAGCTTAATCAGAATGAATAAACATTAATAAATTCAAAATATATAATGTCTACGCTTCGAAGAAATAGTGCCTTTCAAACTAAATAGCTATTGAGTATTCTAAGAAATATGTGAGTGCTAATTTGTAGGGCAATGGAATTTAAAAAATAACGTTTGGCAGTAAGTAAACTATATTGATTAGGTATGTGTATGTCATATATGCATTCCTGACAAGTTGTGGGGAAAGTAAAATTTAGCCACAAAATCCTGTTTTGATTTAGAAAATTGGAAATCTGTTGCTGCATAAAATAAATTGGCTCTACCATTGAATTAAATCACACTTAAGAATATGATGAGTAGTAAAAGGTGGTACAGTATTGTGTGTCATTGCACCTCTTCAGTTTATAAAACCTTCTCCCACATTGGATCATTGAGGGGAAAAAAATGAAAAAATTAACAATTTCAGCTTTCCAAACAAAATTATAACTTACAACTTCCCACAAAAAATGGGGGCAGATGCAGCTGGTGCATAGCCAGAAGTGACACAAAGCACTAATAATGAGCCAGAGTGCTTGAGATGACTTGCATACAAAAATTCAAGTAAAATCTTCTCTTTTTGTTAGAAAGTCTGTGTTATCCCTCTGAGTCCTGCTTTCATTGCAGTGCTTTTGACTTTGCAAAACAAACAACGCCAAGGCCTTGATGAACCCGCTGTTCTTCTTCCCCCTTTTTCCTTTTTTTGGAAAAAGTCCTTCTTGATGAATCTTAGACGTTGTCTTCTCTGTACTTTTCCCATTTTTCCCTCCTCTGTTGAAAGAGACAACATGCCCAGGTAATGGATGCTACTTCTGATTCTTGCATTTAAATATTCAAAATGCAAAAGCAGTGACATTGAGCACATTCCTCCTCTGCTTTATAAGCTTTGTAAAATTGTGCATATTGCATTGGATTTACTACTAATGAGAAATAACCAGACTAATCAACATTTAACATAGGAAAAAACTATGTTCAGTTTAACAAAAATTTACTAAATGCTTTGTGTGTGTAAGGCCTGTGTTCAAGGCCGCTAGATGGCACCATAGTGCACAGAGTACTGGTCCTGGAATTGGGAAGACCTGAGTTCAAATATGGCCTCAGACATATACCCTGTGTGTGACCTTGAGTAAGTCACTTAACGTCTATGAATAGGTAACCTATTAAGGTAAATACATCAGTACATAGAGCTTATCCACTGCAAATAGCCAGCAAGCAGTGTCTAGAATGTAAGGAGGAGTGTGTGCTTGGTTGTGTTTGGGAAATTACACTGAATTTTTAAGGATTTCAGCCTGAGCTGTCACACAAAAAAGCCATCTTCTTAACACTAGTATTCTTCTAGTGATTGTATGTGACTGCTGATCTCTGAACAGCGTCGGTCATATTTCCAATAATGATTTGAGTGAAAGAGGTAGCATAAAAAGATTGTCAAGAACACGTTTTACCGTAAAAGGAGGTGGACCAGTCACACAACAAGGGTAAGGAATAATGGACAGATGATCCACATACTGAACTGGGACTCATGACATGCTAAAATAGCTAAAGGAAGGTCCGTTGGAGAGGATTATGTAACCGTATGGCCAAGGATTACATTGAGTAAGAAAGTGAAGGTTGTGATCAGCATCATTAGAGATCATTATTGAAAATGTGGTTCTTTTTATGTGAAATAACTCTTGTTAGAATTAAAATATTGTATCATTTGTTTTTATATCACTTTCGTTTCCAAATATATTCTTCCCCAATTCCTTACCCAGAGAGCCATCCCTTGAAACGAAAGAATAAAAAAGAAAAAGAGAAAAAATCAGTTCTGTGAAACCAAACATATTAGTGAAGTCTGACAGAATATACAGTGGGTGTAATGACTAAGGCTTTTTTCTTTTGGTTCAGACCTGTGATTTCAATAATTTACTGGGAACTTCTGATAAAGAAACTCCCTCTACAAATTCAGGCCAGCAGCTACTCTGTGACTTAAAGTCTTCCTTGTGCCATTGAGAGGTGAAGTGCCTTGGCTCACTTGTAGTCACACAGCCAGTATGTGTCAGGGGCAGGACCTGAGCCCCAGACATCCTGATTGAGACCAGTCCTCTATGCACTAGGCTATGCTGACTTTCAGACATGTTTTGTATTAGTTAAATAGACTGATCTTCTACTTGATAAGCCTGTTAGTTTCATATTTGGGCTGGCTGTATTTCTTTAAAACTGTGTATTGTGGCTAAAGTTCATCATTACTTTGCTATAGTGGGCAAGTTCCAGTTAGTCAGAATTAGTCTAGTTTTAAGTTATAGTTGTGATCTGCTTCTAAGAAAACCCCCAAATCTGGACTTAATAATAAACTTTGACGTTTATATGGCACTTTAAAGTTTGCAGAAATTTTATAAAACAAATGAAGAAGTAATTATCTGTTTTATAGAAGGCCTCTTCACTTTACAAACGGTGTCATCAAAGTTCTGTGAAATAGGGAGTTCTTTGTGTGCATAAAAATTACTCATTTCACAAAATTTGGTTTACATACAGTTTTCCCGGGACACATCTATTACATAAAGTAATAACTACTTCACAGGGTTGTTGTGGGAATCAGATGTGGTAATGTATTTGCAAACTCTTTGTAAATGGTAAAGTGCTATACAGATTTAGAGTATTATTGTCAGGGTCAAGGGAGATATGTCTGCTGTATGGTCTCGTTTCTGCTAAGAGTTGAGAAAACTAAGAATAAATTTTTGTTCATTGAAAAAAATTAAATTTAAAAGAAAAAACTAAGTTTTAATATGGTTCTAACATTAACTTTGTAATCTTGGGTAAATTAAATCCCTCTTTAATTGCCACTTGTTTCCCAGTTTCATCTACAAAAGGAGGCTGTCACCTGCCCTGTCTGTAGTAAAGGATTTCTAAGGATAGGACTGAATAAGAAATGAAAACTTTTTTTTAATAAACATAATAATTATCAGATGCTACCATTAGGCCCATTTTATTCACTATTAAATAGCCTTGTTAAAAGTCACTAAGAAATTATAAAATCTATTTAGAACAAAAACAAATAACAAAGATTATACCATCAGGAGGCATAAATGTATGTTAAAAATGTATGGGAGCATTCAACAATATAACATCAATTAAAAAAATAAAGAACTAAATGTAGAGTATGCCTAACTATAAATCCATTATAGGGAACTGACTAGAAATCTGTTAGGTCTGTTAGTGAGGATTATGTGACCGTATGGACAAGGATTACATTGGGCAAGAAAGTAGTAGTTGTGATCAGCGTCATTGGAGATCACTATTGAGAATATGGTTCTTTTTATGTGAAATAATTCTTGTTAGAATTAAAAGATTATATCATTTGTTTTTGCATCACTTTTGTTTCCAAATCTATTCTTCCCCAGAAGCAATCATTTGAAACAAAAGAATAAAAAAGGAAAAGGGAAAAAATCAGTTCTGCAAAACCAAACACGGTGCTTGGCACATAATAAATGCTTAATAAATGACTAGGAATCTGTGCAAAATTACTCAGATGATAGCAAGTTTTGCTACAGAGCACCGGTAATGGGTTACTTAAGATTACAAGTGCTTTGACTAAGACGAGACATTCATCAGATAAGAAAGGTGATTTTTGAATTAGCCCTGAAACTGAAGTCAGTGAAGACTTTAATGAAAGAAAATATACCAAAACAATGAATCAAAGACAACTACAAGGTTTTGAGCGTGGATGACTGTGAAACTGGTTCAATTAATGAGAATTAGAAAGTCAGGGAGGGGGTGCGGGTAGGAATGAGTTTGGTTTTGCCTATTGTGAGTTCGGGGTGTTAATGTGCCACATCCAGTGGAAACATCTAACTTGGCTAAATGCAGATTTGCAACTCAGGGGAAGAGGGCCAGGCTGGAAATAAAGACTTAAGAATTGCCAGGATGAGCGATAACTCAAAGCCATGAAAATGGATTATATATAGTGAATAAGGAGAGAATGGTGGAGGGAAGAGAGCCTTGAGTATATCCTTGGGTAAATTCTCACATTTGGTGGATGGATGGAGGAAGAGGACTTGGAATAGTCTGCAAGTAAGGAGGAGGACCGCAGAGATAGAGAGGGTTACTCTTTCCAAGAGGAAAGAGTAGGCAGATAGCTCATAATAGTTAGAGTTTTAAATTTCATCTCTTCCAGACTTCTCATTTTATATGCAAGGAAACAGGCCCCAAGATGGTAAATGTGCCCAAGGTCATAGACAGTAGACCTAGGATTTCCATCCTGTGCAACACAGGGATCTAGGAGGATGACAGCTGAACA